AACAACAACAACAACAACAACAATTTCAATAGTTTTTTAGCATAACTAATAGGTCAGGATCCTCAAATTTATAAATATTAAATTATTCATTTCATTTTATGCAATCAACAGTGATAAAATTTAATACTTTTATGATCTTTATTTTTACTAATGTAAAAATTTTTAAAATGTGATACAATTATTTAACATAATTGAATTTTAATATTATATAACTAAATATAAATTAAATATCTATGCAAGTGCACATAATCAAATACTAGTTAATATTTATAACCTACCTAAATTTAATTATTAATTATAATATTATATTTATTTTATTATATAATTAATAAATATATTTCAAATAAATATTAATAGAAGAAATTGAGGATGTATATAATTATGTCCGTTAATTAATTTTAACTCATTATTTTAAACACATCAATTTAAAAAAAGTTTAAAATATAGAAATAATGTTTATTTTTTTTCAATATAACTTTTTGAATTAAACAAAAAATATAAAATTATGAATTTTATTAGTACAAAATTCATATAGATAAACATGATATATCACGCATTAAATTGGTCAATATAAATTCGTGTTGCGTAAGCTATTAGAGTATAAAATTTGTTTGTTAAAAATTTCAAAATAATTGCATGTAATAAAATGAGGGAGATTTTATTTTGGTATGAAACGTTCGAATTTAAATGGTATGAATTTCATTTGGTATTGATAGAAGTGTATTTGAAAATTTTTAACATAAATAAGTGGTATGAATTTTATTTGGTATGGGTATGAAAGTCGAATTTTAGGTTGATTTGTTATAAAATTAAGGTGATATGATTATCAAATTTTAGCATATTTATATAATAACTTTCCATAAGATATTGATGATAATTTAATAAATTGGTATGTATTCCTCTTAAAATTTAAAACTTTGAATAAATATTTCTTAATGAAATCTATAATTCTAGAGAATTAATTGATAAATTTGAACGGCGAGGTAACCGACAACAAACCTAAAAATTTGTGAGATTAGTGAAATATAGATTGGTATAAAATATATAAGGGATTTTATTGTGTAGTCTAATTTTAGTTTTTAAATTTAAAAGAAAAAATAAGTAATTATTCATAATTTACTGGTCAATATTAACTTGGACGTAAATAAAATAGTCTATTATTTATAGTTTCTCAATTATTAAATTATTTTTATTAGGACAAATAAATTTATTTTAATTATTGAAAAATATAAATTTTAGTATTATACATATTATTCACATAGATTTTTAAATATATGATAAATTTTACATTTTTTTTTTGTGGAACCACATTGTATTCAAATTGAATTTTTGAATAAAAGTTTTAAAATGACATTTATTTTGAAATAAATATAGTGTAATTTATTATCAGTTATGTACACCGTACGAGTTATGTACTAATTTTAAATAGACATATCTTATGTAATTTTGCACAATTTAAATTTTATATAATATTTTGAATAAAATAATATAAGGGGCATATTACATATTTATTTCATATTTTTATTTTATAAATATTAAAAAATAATTAAAATTGAGTAAAAAGAGAGAGAAAAAATAATTAAAAAATGTGTAATGGGGAGAGAAAAAATAATAAAAAAATTGTAGTGGAGAAAGAAGAAATAATAAAAAATGAAAAAGTTGAGTTGTTAGTGGGATGATGCAATATTATATTTTCTTTTTCAATTAATTTAATGGGAGGGATTTAAAAGGAACTTAAATAGTGGGGTAGGTAGTAAAAAGAAAAGAAAATAGGGAGAGGGACTGACATGGAACTTGATTATGGGTTTGGGGATTAATAAAGAAAACCCCCACAAATTAAAGCAAATAAAACCTGCACTGTGAAATTTCTTGTAGACAGTTCTCTAAAAACCCTATCCCCGCAGTCAGCCAGCCTTCCTCCACATTTTCGCCTCTTTTCACGACAACACAATCGGCCTCAAAATGGCCGCCGCCGCCACCGCCACCGCCGACTGCGTTTTCCCGGAGGATATCATGGCGTCCATCCTCACGCGCCTCCCCGTAAAACCCCTCGCCCGCTTCAAATCCGTCTGCAAGTCCTGGCTCCGCCTCTTCTCCTCGCCCCAATTCATCGACTCCCACCACGCCCACCTCTTCTCCGACCCCAAGAACGAGTCCTTCTTCCTCCACATCGAATACCCCTTCGATACCAACCGCCGCCGCTTCCGCCCCACCACCAGCTCCATCCCCCTCCTCAACCTCCACCGCACCCCCAAAACTCCGGCTGCCATCCGCCATCCCTTCTCCCACACAAAATCCCCCTTCGATATCATCGGCTCCTGCCACGGCCTGATCTGCCTCGCCTCCGACCAGAAACTCGTCCTCTGGAACCCCGCCCTCCGCCTCTCTAAGCAGATCCCCCCGCCGCCGGAGGACTGCGGGCCGGCCCGGAGGGCCTCCTTCGGGTTCGGCTACTCTTCTTCCTCCGCTGATTTCAAGGTCGTGAGGCTCATGTGGCAGCCGGGCCTGAACCCCATCCCCATCGACGGCCAAATCATCCTCTGGGCCGACCTCTACTCTGCGAATTCAGATTCTTGGACACGTGTCCAGCAGCCCGATCTCCCGTTCCTCATGGTGTTGGAATATGAGTGCAGTGTGATTGCGGGCTGACCGCGTGTTGTTACACGGCAAATTTAAATTTATAATTTTTTCTAACTTATCCCTACTAACTAGTAGTAGTGGCGAACAAGGGTCGATCCCACAGAGAGTGTGGTATAAAAAATGAATTTATTATATTAATTAGATTATAATAAAAATGGGGGATTTTGATTTAATACGAAACTACTAGCAAAACAAGAAATAAACTAAAAATAAAAATAAATGAATTATATGCCAAAGAGGATGAAACCGAAAATAAATAAAAATAATCTAGCAAAGATGAGAATGGAATCGGTTCCAGGTTGGTCTACACTCTCGAATAACTAGCCCAATTAATGCATTTATCAAATTTCACTCGTTTTCTAAAACTACCGGTCCTAGATAGCAATAAGCTCTGCTACCCGAATTTTCCCTTAATTTATACTTAATCGCAATAGGCTCTTCAATTAATTCTAACTAGCGAATAACTCGGAATAAGCTCTTCTAATTTAACCCACTAGTCGCATTAAAATCTAGGAAAATAGACCGATCTAAGCCACAAACTATATGTTGTGCTATCCCTAACAATGCACGACTGTTAGTTGCTACAAACGAAATAAGAGCAACGACAATTACGGATCGAAGTCTCAAATCTAGCAATTAACATGCAATTCCTAACTTAGGTGATCAAGCTAAATTAAAAATCACACATTATGACATGAAAATAGAATAACACAATCAACTTTATACGACGAGTAAAACGAAATAAATTGCATTAATCAAACGTAGTCATCGAGGGTTCAACGTCCCTAGAACCGAAATAGTGTTTAGCTACACATAGCTAAATAATAAAAGCAAAAATAATAATTCAACATGATCGCAAATCAAAATAAAGCAAAACAAATAAATAAGAACAAACTCCTTGATCACAATGATTCACGGCTAAGTTGTTTTCCAGCAACAACAAATAATTCTTCTCATTCCTTGATGGTCAGCTATCTCTTTTCGTCCAGTATGAAAAGTCAAAAAAAACAAAAAGANCCCCCCCCCCCCCCCTTTCTTTGATGCCACGCAGCTATTTTGATAAGAATCCAATTGCCATCAACTTCCTTTCTTTCCTCAACTACGCACAAGAGTCCTTTTTCCAATCAACTTCCCAATTGCCATCAATTAAAGAGTACAACACATCTATCTAGCCGCCACTCGCATGCATGATTAACTGCCACCTCATTAATTTGCATAAATACTGCAAAATAAACACAAAATCCGATTATTGGTGTATGTCCGTTCACAAGATAAAATACGCGATAAAACTTGTATAATACGCTAAAACCAAATACTCCAATTATAAATTAAACCCCAACATAATACAAGATTTCTCGCGTATCACGGGCGGGTGCCCGTACTGGTCTGCGGAGGGCAATGATATTGGGTGGTTGGATGTAAATGATATGGTTTTCAAGAAACTGTCGGATTCGAGCATCGTCCTCCCGAACATGGGCTGGGGAATCAAGTTGTTTGACATGGATGGATGACTAGGAGCCCTAGCGTATCCTGCATTTGAGTTGGATGAGCTGTGCCTTGTTTGGTGTTATGATGACGTGGACGGGAAATGGAGGAAGATGCAGAGTTTTAAGTGTCCTGTCGGTGTGGATGAGCTTATTGTCAGTCAACGATCGAGAGATGGGAGGATTGTGACTGTAAATCATGAGGTTAGGTCGCGAGATGGGAGGATTGTGGCTGTACTGATGGTGTATGATCCTGTGACAGAAGGTTTTGAGTACTTATCTTATGTTGCTTATACTGCAGAGTCGTTGTATTCGTACACCGAGAGTTTGGCGTACGTGGAGGGAATGAAGCCGACTTAGGGCGAGAAAGAGAAGTTTGTTCGGATTTCTTTGTTGACTTTAGATGTTTGCTATTGTTGTGCTACTGTCTTTGAATTATAGTTGTGAATGATTTGGTTTTATGTTTGAAAAGTGATGGTTCGGTGGAGAAAAAAAAAATCACATTTCAGTTGGTTCTCCTTATATTCTTCCTACAACTACTAGTGCTGTGAAAATTATCGAAAATTATCAGAGGAATGAGTACTATATTACATTATATTGTAGCCAATAGCTAGATTGTGTCTGCACTGATCGTATATGATCCTGTGACATAAGGTTTTGAGGACTTATCTTATGCTTATACTGCAGAGTCGTTGTATTCATACACTGAGATTTGGCGTACGTGGAGGGAATTAAGCCGACTTAGGGGAGAAAGACAAGTTTGATTGGATTTCTATGTTGATTTTAGATGTTTGCTATTCTTGTGCTACTGTCTTTGAACTATAGTTGTGAATGATTCGCTTTTATGTTTGAAAAGTGATGGTTCGGTGGAGAAAAAGAAAAAAAAAATCACATTCAGTTGGTTCTCCTTATATTCTTCCTACAACTACTAGTGCTGTGAAAATTATCAGAGGAATGAATACTACATTTTATTTGTAGCCAATAGCTATATTTGCTTCCTACTTCCTAACTCGAAAATGAAATGAAAATATTTAAGTTAATTACATGAGTGGATTACAAATAAATCACAACAGCACAAAAACAAATTATAAGGTGCAAGTCGCAACTGCATAACATTTTTTTTTTACACGTTACAGTATGAGGTCGGTTATCGATCGACACAACAAAGCGAAAGAAGAACATGAGCAGCCGTTGAATTCAACTTCTGAAGTCGAGGTAAATCTTCAATATCAGATTTCGATTTGGTTTGTGTATGTTGGAGATTTGGTTCTGAAGTCGAAGTAAATCGATGATGATCATATACTTTCGATTTGGTTCTTGGAGAATTTTTATAAGGCTGCAGCACTCGCCTTTCATACCTCAATGAATAGAAAGAATTTGAATGAAATACTAACGAATTACATTATTTGCTTCACAGTATTGGCAAAGTGAAGCTGCTACGCTGAGGCAACAGTTACAGAAGTTGCAAGGGAATCATCGGTAAATTGTGATTGTGCCTTCATTTTTCGAATATATTGTGTATATTTGCATAAAGAGAAGTGCCAAAAAGCAGTCACGTCTGGATTGAAAATTGCATACTTGCAAAAAAATAAAAATTATGATTGATATTTTCAAAGCACATCTTTCAAGCATTCATGAATTAGTTGGAAGAAATTTATAGAAAACAATGAAAAGAGATGCAAACTTTGTATCTATACTTAACTAAAAAAAAAAGATTATATTAACATTTTTATTAATTACATATTAACATGATCAGTTTAAGTATTTCCTGAAATTGAGTTGGACTGTGCTTCTAAACCAGAGCTATCTTGAAAATGGGATATCCAAGTAAATGAAAAAGGGATAAAGTGATAAAGAGATAATAAGATAACAGCTACATTAGTATATATCTAATGCCATTTACCATTATGGCAGGCATTTAACAGGCGAGGATTTTTCCGGATTAAATGTGAAAGATCTACAGAACTTAGAGAAGCAGCTGGAAATGAGCCTCCGGGGTGTTCGTACGAGAAAGGTTTTAGACTTGTATTTGATGAACAAATCAAATCCTTGAAACCCATATTGTCACAAAATTATATTTATATATAGTTTTCAACTTATTGTAGGATGAGATGCTAATGGATGAAATACAGGAGTTGAGTCAAAAGGTTTGATGTGTAAAATATAAGTAGCTAGCTAGTTCACTAGTCTTTATTACAAGAGCATCCATTTTGAAGCTGAATTTTATTGCAGGGAAACCAAATCCACCAAGAAAACATGGAACTATGTAGGAAATTAAATCTAGCTCGTCAAGAAAACCTCGAATTGCATAAAGAGGTAGTGTTGTATTTTGATTTCCAACTGTTGTATGTGTTTAGTTGAAGCCCTGTTCATATTAATGCTTTTGTACAATTGTTGACATATATTTTTATTTAAACCAACTCCTATATATATATATATATATATATATATATATATTTATTTATTTCAGGTTCAGGTTCAGGTTCAGGTTTGCAGAAGAAGTGAAAATGCAACTAGAGAGGACAGTGATTCATATACTACTAATACTTCAAGCATCAGAGAAGACCCTTCAAATGCACCATTAGGAGAAATAAAGTTGGGGTAATTTTCTTGTACTATTATTTTAAGAATGATATATAATATATCCGGCTAACATTTATGGCGGGAAACGAAAATTGCAGGTTATAGTTGCAATAAATGGCAAAGGGATATAATAATTATGAAGGGGAACCAAAGGTACAATCCCATGTAATAATCTGTCTGTAAATCAAAGTGAAGAGGACAAAGTCTTGGAGAGAAGAAATAAAATGAACTTGGTTGTAAATTTTAAATTCAGAATTTGCACCTAAAATTGGTTTGCTCAGATAAATGATAGTAGGAAGATTGAGCGAAAAATAAACACAATGAGGATGAAGAAGAATGTAGAAACAAATTTGAAGGTATACAAGAGAAAGTCCACTGTTGTTCCTAATTAATTCATGGTATATTAATATTAATATAAATTTTCCTGCTCAACTAAAATTGCAAAAAATTGATGGTTTTTGGTCGTCCTCAATAAGACTTTTATTTGTCAACATTAGGATAACTAATAACCTATTATTCTAATCTCTACTCAGAAACATGACATGATATCAGCTCCTTGAAAATAGTGCAACAATAGTACTATAATGTTTTATTCATTATCAACTTCTTGTAACAAGAGAATGTGACCGTTGACTTCTGAAAATAATGAGAACGCATATCATTAAGGTTAGCATATGAAAATGCATTTTACTTCACGAGATACAAAAGCACCAAAGCACTGCTGAACACAATACCCTTCAGCATGTATCACTCATTTATTAAGTCAGTCATAAATATTTTCCAAAACTTCATTATTTGAAGGACATAATTGCAAAGAGGAACAACTTGTAAATCTTTGTCAGTATTCGCTTCAATAGACTGAACAAAAAACAAAAGGAGTCAAACACACCATAAATCACTCTTTATACCCGTTTCTTAAGGTTTCTCCATTTTGTACAATTAGTAAGGTGCACGTGATTTGCACGTGAACTATATAATTTGTCTAATTGAATTTGAATGTCTTTAAGTTGATTTGACAAACATATATTATTTATGATATACATTTTAAGTTAAATATAAGTATATATATATATATATATATGTGTGTGTGTGTGTGTGTGAAAAATGACTAGGATCATACATATATATTTATTATGAGAAACAAATTGCTAAGGGTGTGATTATATATGAGTTATAACCGTTCTTATTCGGTTATAATCGGTTAAGTTATTTCATGTCCAATTATCTAACTCAAAAGAAAACTCAACTTAACTCTCCTACTTTTTATAAATATAAACAATCATTCTCATACATCACATCAATTTTTATTTATCATTCATCTACTAACATAATTTTAACTATCTATCACTTTTGATAATCTTTCTCCTACTTTTACATCAGATCAATTTTAATCATTATATTTTAAAATATTATTTGATTTCAATTTCAAAATCATCCACTCGTTATACTTTATTCAAACTAACTCACTTTAAATAATTTTAGGCAAACAAAATTGGTCAAACCTGGTTGGATTCATTTTCAATCGTGCCTAAGGAGCTCTACAAATATTCATTTTGGAAGTTTGAAAACAATCAATTTAATGCTAATTAAACAAATGTTTCAAGTAAAATTCAATAAAAAATTGAAGACACGTACACAAATACTAACATAATGTGGAATAATTTTATTTGTACTAACACATTGTAAAAAAATCATGAAGTTTTAAATTTTAATTGAAAATGATATGATAATATGGACCTAGTAAAGGTTCTTTTGCCTAAAAAGTTATCGTAACACTAATAGAACAATGGGTTATATCTATAAGCATTTGTATTTAATTTTAATTTAAATTTTTACCTACCGTCATTAACATGTTACTTATTAATCATCTTAATCTATCTCATATTAAACATTAAATATAAACAATTTGAATTAAGTATATTCACTTTTATCTAAAAGTATAGAATAAGTACTGAACTCGATACAAAATATTTGCATACTGTAAAAGTACAATGAATTTGGACATATTAACGTAAGGATAAGTAAAAAGTAATTACATGGATGAAATCCTTATATTTAATGTATAAATTAAATAATGAAGGTTATTATCGAAAAAGTCATAGTAAAGTGTGATTGTCTTCATAGAAAATATTTATTTGTGTCTTCATTGAGAAATATGATTTAACAGTTGTCCATGTTGATACTTAAAAATGAAAATTGTTAATGGCATCTCATTCTTACAAAATTATAGATAAAATAAGTTTGATTAAATGTGAAAGAAAAAAAAAAGGTGGATAGTTCGTTTATATGTCTCTCTTCAATTTACTTCTCGTGCATCATTTGACTTGCATCAATTGATACCAACCATTACCTTTAATTTTGTTTATTTCATATTAAATTTTGTGAAGTAAATTGTAGAATTGTACACCAATTATTTTATATGGAAGGGATATATTAATGCCATGGAAAAAAAAAATACAAAATACAAAATACAAAATGTATTCATAGTTTTAATGCAATCAAAGAAGTTACACCAACAATTTACATCTATATAAAAGGATTAGCCAATTTCTATATAGTTATATCTTTTGTAAGGAATTTCTTCATCCAAAGTTTTCTTGGAATAAATTAGAAAGTTTTTTTGTTTTTTTATTTTGATACACAATTTAATGTTTTCATAATTTTACAATCCATTAAAGTCATTATATTGAAAATGTCATGACTAATTAATTTGGTCAAATAATTGTCTGATATGGATGATTAAATTAAAAATATGACATTATACAAAAATTAAGATACATTTTTATATAGAAGCAAATAATTTTGTAATGGAATAGACATGTACTATAGATCTTTGCCCTTTAAATTGTTTTAGTATTTCTAATGTTTTAAGTTTATGATTTATATTTTATGTACTTAATTTGGTCAATCGACATAAAATATAAATCATAAACTTGTTAGTGCATTTAAACACAAGGCATTAAAATTCTTATTCAAACACAAGACAATTTAAAAATTACACTAAATTTACATAATAATTTATGTATATTTTCTAACTATATTTATATAGATACATATATAAAAAAAATATTATTTACTCCAAATAAATCTTAAATATGTAGCATGGTGACATATGATTGGACCCTCATAGTGGGTAACACAATAAAAACATAAATAAAAAATGTGTGTGAAGTTAGTTTGTTAAATAATTATTTAACATGAAATACTAGATGTTAGTTCATTTTTCCCGCATTAGTGTGAAAAACATTATGTTGAGAAAATAGAAAAATGAAAAAAAGAGATCAACAACTATTTCAAACACCAATTACATGACATTTAAATGAAGAACTAATGGGTCGCTTATTAAATCATAAGCGTATTATATAAGTTGACATAAAAAACCCGGAAGTAATAAAAAAATTATTCTATATGGAAGGGATATATTAATGCCAAAAAAAAAATATACAAAATACAAAATACAAAAGGTATTCATAATTTTAATGCAATGAAAGAAGTTACACCAACAATTGACATCTATATAATAGGATTAGCCAATTTCTATATTGCTATATTTTTTGTAAGGAATTTTTCCATCCAAAGTTTTCTTGGAGAAAATTTAAAAGTTTTTTTTTAATTAATTTGATACACAATTTAATGTTTTCATAATTTTACAATCCATTAGTATCATTATATTTGAAAATATTATGACTAATTAATTTGGTCAAATAATTGTCTTATATGGATGATTAAATTATAAATATGACATTATACAAAAATTAAGATACATTTTTATATAGAAGCAAATAATTTTGTAATGTAATAGACATGTGCTATAGATCTTTGCCCTTTAAATTGTTTTAGTATTTCTAATGTTTCAAGTTTATGATTTATATTTTATGAACTTAATTTGGTTAATCTACATAAAATATAAATCATAAACTTGTTAGTGCATTTAAACACAAGGCATTAAAATTATTATTCAAACACAAGGCATTAAAACTTAAAAATTAAACTAAATTTATATAATAATTTATGTATATTTTCTAACTATATTTATATAGGTACATACATAAAAAAAATAGAATAAGAAAAATTATTAATTACTCCAAATAAAATATGTAACATGATGATATATGATTGGACCCTCATAGTGGGTAACACAATAAAAACATAAATAAAAAATGTGTGTGAAGTTAGTTTCTTATATAATTATTTAACATGAAATACTACATGTTAGTTAATTTTCCCCGCATTATGTTGAAAAAATAGAAATATGAAAAAAGAGATCAACAACTATTTCAAACACTAATTACATGACATTTAAATTAAGAACTAATGGGTCGTTTATTAAATCATAAGCATATTATATAAGTTGACATCAAAAAACCGAAACTAATAAAAAAATTGTATCCATTAACTAAAATAAAATATCCACTAAATTAAAAATGAAAAAAAAATACCCAAAATATAAAATGGAAAGAAATTTTTATATAAGGAACACTTACTACTCTCTCTCATTAAATGGACTCTTAACAAATGACAATTAAGCCATTAAAAAATTAAAAGAGTAAGGGTAATTTGGTCTATCCAAATTTTTACAAAAACATTCACACTTTTAGGTTAGTAGATTTTACAAAAACATTCACACTTTTAGGTTAGTAGAGATAGAGATAGAGATAGAGATAGATTATAATCAACTTTAATACAAGTGCAAAATATAAGTCATCAAAACTTATATCAACTTCAGAGATTCTTGCTTCTTACCAACTCCTACCCATCTCCAAAATGTAAGTCAAAACTACTACGAACTTGAGGCATTCTTGCTTTGTGGTAACTTCTTATCATATCTCTTAAATAATTATACAATAAGCAAACTTCTCAATTGTATGTTAAGAAGATTAGGGTGAGCAATTAAGAATCTAATGTAATACAGGAACCAATGATTCTTGATTGAAATTAGGGAAGTAGGTGTTGCATAATATAACTAGTACGTAGCCCGTTTGATACACGTGACAATAATGGTAAATTGTATAAGTTAAAACAATGAAGGAATATTGATTAGTATAGAAATAAGTTTTAATACTAATATTAATTTTTATATTTTATTATATATTAATGATCTATAATAGTTTGATATACGATTTATATATTTATTTCACCACTTATAAAATAACTTTCATTTATAAGTTCGTATTAGAGTTAAGAAAATGAAAATTAACATATGAAAACGTTATTAATAAATAATATTCACAAAATTACTTCTTTCTATTTTCTCTTACTTATACCTTATTATAATCTATTATTTTGATTCCTAGTAAATAAAGGTAAAGTTGAAAAATTATGGCAAATATTATAAACAAAAATTAAATTTTAAAATAACGTATTGTATATTGTTTTAAAGTTATAAAATTTGTTAATTTTTAATTACGTCAAAAAGATGTTAATATTTTGTAATTTCATAATTTATGTTATGAATATTTTGAATTTTTTTCTAATCTAATCAAACATACTATACTTTGACACCAGTTGATTTATCATCATATTTATAACATTATAAAATATCACACAACGGATGGTGTCATCATATTTATAACATTATAAAATATCACAGAAAGAATGATGTTTTGGAAAAAAATGAAGAGTGAACATGAAAAGACGTAGTGTATTTATTAGCTAAATGAAAGTAATAATGGAAAAATATGTACAAAATATCTAAAACAATATTTATTTGGATAATAGTTAATAAAACCAAAATGACATTTACAAAGAATATGAGGTAGTAATATTTTCGTGTACATATGAGACGAAATTCAAATCGGCCATGTATACATGACTTTTTTGAGAATCGATTGCAAGTTTCCCTTTATTGTCTAAAACATTTAAATACAGAAATTCAAGGTGCTATTAGGTCTGTGAGTGTTGAAATGTTCATACACAGACCCGACTTAAGATAAAATAAAGGAAAATAGATTATAATGAACCACGTGAAAACTTGATTAGGCTTTATGGTTAGGCATTACAATGATCCAACACCACCAAGTCCATCTTTCTTTTATTAACTTACACAACCAATCCACTAGTTGATTGAAGAAAGATACACCATTTTGAGTCTGTGAAGAAGATATAAATGATGATCTTTAATATCAAAACAAAAATTATTTTCACTATTTCGACCCAGAAAGAGATGACTCGTATGTGATTCGACAACTGCTTCCAGTGTCCTAATATCAGCCACACCGGTATCTGCGAGAATTGTCTCAAGTGCATTAATATCTCCTAATAAGCAAAGCCATTGAGGTGAGAGGAAACATAGGAAACAAAACTTAAGAAGAAAAAAGTTGAGCAACATGTTAAGTGTATAGGTATGCATGAGATGAGAAGAATACTGCATTTTCAGTACCTTATTATTGTGTCATTGCCGCCAGCACATACTATGGTTTTGAGCATGTCGTGTGTGGTGTAACTAGGTCGCTGGGATATATTATATTATATTATATTCATGGGGAACAAAATGTAAAACCACAAAAAATAAAAATAGGTCCATTCAAGAAAACAAGAAAGTGGATAAAAATCAAAGTACCTTATTACCATCCGCTGCTTTAAACAGATTACGGAACGCAACACTCAACGAAGCCCTGCCATCATCACCGTCTCTCAAATGTTTCATGCCCACTTTGGCAAATGCATTCAGCTGCTCCTCACAGAAAGGGTCAAACAATAACATGAAATCCAACCGATTTAGTAGCTCTGTCCTTAGACCTATCAATCCCTGTTACCCAAACCACTAACTTCAAACTCAATAATAATAACAATAATAATAATAATAATAATATCATCTACAAAGTGAAATGTCTTGAATATCTCTGTCTATCAAATAATTACAAACTGCAACATTTTTTAGTGTAATTTACCTTTTCACCAGGCAATGAAGTCGAAAAGCCGTCCACAGGTTTTGGAGTGGATTTTAAAAAAATATGTTTACCACACAATTCAATTTTCGTATGATGCCCATTAAACCAGCCAATCATCTCCTTATTCCCTAGATGTGAGACAATAACAATTACAGAATTACTAAAATCCACTATGTTCCCGTCTTTATCCTTGGTTACACCTCCTTCAAGAATGGATAGAATGATGCTAAAAGTAGCAATATGTGCCTTCTCCAGCTCATAAAACACAATCACCGAATAAGGGCTTTTCTTAACAAACTCCATAAGCAACAGATGAGGGTTACCAATGTCTGAGCACCTAAACACAGTGTGATTTCAGAAAACATCCACTGTAAATTAAAAAAACAAAATCTCGAATTCAAAACTGTAACTAAGAGATTGTTTGACGACAAACCTGAAGAATGATTCAGGTCCCGTGCACAGTGATAAGTCGACTTGAATCATTAACTTTTCCCCATCATCAATGACAAGCTGTTGTGCAAGGCTTTTTGCATATTGTTCCAAACTATTAGGCTTGAGACCCAGACAAAGAAATGACTTAGGAGACGGATCACCATTATTTAACTGACTTAATAACACCTCAATGATGCCACGTGTCGCTCTATCTTCAAGTACCAACAAAGTCTGCAATTTGGTGGAGACGAGCTTCAACCACTCACTAGACTGTATCCTTGTCTGTTCACTTGGGGAACACTTCTCGAAGAAGTCCTCCACCTGGATCTACAATACAGTCAATATTTTAAAATATGGTCTACCAATTTTTTTTTTTTAAATAGCAGTGTGTAGGTAAATTAAATTTATGATACCTTCTCAAACTTAACAACTTCGTCAATTAGTATAACAATTTCCTCAGACAACTTGCGAATATTGGCATCATTTGTCTCAGACTTGGAGTTTATTTGCTCGAGTAGACGGAAGTAGCTTGCCAATACCATGTATATCTTGTTCACTTGTTGTCTTTCGCGACGGTATTTGCTCCTCAAATGCCGTATACTCTCTTTCAAAATCTTAAATGCAGGATGTTCCTCCAAATGACTAATAGTTTCAACTCTGAAAGAATATTCCCAGGAACCTAGGAATGTATCAATGTATATGATAATCGTCTTATTTGTCACCTTCTCTAGAATATCTCTATTCAACATCTGGACCTTATGGGCTTCATACCATGTCTCATAGGCATGTGCACCTCTCTGACAGGGAAAATAGAATTAGTTTTGTGCAAAATAAAATTTGAAACAGAAAAGGAGCCAGAAATCTTACTAATCAGAATAAGAGAATAAAATGAGGATTGATTTCCTCTCGAAAGAGCTTACCCAGGCCAAACCCCACAATTTTTTTATGAAATTGGTTTAATTTTTAAGATGTGTGTAGTAGCTATTTTTAATGCTATCTTATGTACACATCAATAAGTTATAGCCCCTCCAGGAAACTCCCAATGCCACCACATTTCCTATAAACCCAGTTAGGGATCGGTTTATATTCTTGTTTTCGTCTTGTTTTCCACTGTGATCTCTTTTACTTGAGTGAAACCTGAATCCTTTACCCTTGGCTCTATCAATCTCTGTGTAACTGTGTCCGCCCCTGGGAACAACTAGCAAATACCTATAATGACATTTTTGTCCTTGAATAGAATTAGGCAACCTCACTTTAGTGTTATCCAACTCATGAGACTTCCCCTAGGGCCAAGGATATGTTATATTAAACAATATTTCTAAAGGAAATCATTTTCAGTTAAGAGTTCTTCTGTTATGTCCAACAAAGACACGTGAACCATTTTACCATCTTAAAGATCCAGAGCGGATTTCCTACATAAATCTAATAGCCCAACTGCATGTTCTTATTCAATACTATTATTATTCTCTTCCCAATTTAGAAGCATTATCTACACAAGCTAAACAGATTGAGGTTAATTTCTCAAAAAGAAAAAAAAAAAAACTTGTGCTGCTAGAGTGAATGGCCAAGTGATTTACTTTTCATGGGATAATTATAGTCATAAAAACCACCTCAACAATTATTCATGCAGACATAGAATCCTCAATTATTTTATGCAAAACGTAATTCAGAAAATTTGAACCCGAATATTGGTGTATGCTCACTTCAAACATATCTGGCCAAGTAGTCATGTAACTTAATGCAGCATCTGTTGGGTACATGATGACTGGAAGCTTGTGTGATGATGTCATGCGCATGGCAGCCTCCCTGTGTTGCAGCCAAAAGATGGTGTAATAGTCCCACGGCCTCATACGAGGGAAAACGACCACGTCATCAAAAAGATCCACAAACTCAGCCCTAAAACGTTGAGCAACCTGTCAGAGCAAAGAGCAACACATCAAAAAAAGGCTCCCCCTTTTTCCCTTTTCATTCACGATGCACCAAAACTAGCATACGCAATACCTCAACATAAAAACGGTGAATATCACAACCATCGAAAGCCTTTCCTGGGTCGAGGTGCATTCCTCGGTGAACAAGTGTGGGCTCTTTCAGTATTTTCCGGAAAGGGATTTTTGGTAAAGTTTCATGAAGACATCGGCAATGAAAGAGAAACTGATGCCCGACGTGTGACGAGACAATAAGTATGTCGTGCGAGAAATCAACGTGGACGCCATTTTCACCTATCACTCTACCGTCCTTCAATAAATGAACAAGAACCTCATCACAGCAGCTATGAGCATTCTCTATATTATCAAGCATCACAATCTTTCCTCGTCTTTTATCCCTAATCAACGACACAATATAATAATAAGAAAGAAATGTCATGGCAAACGATACTGGATTTTTTCTTTCAACTTGTTGTTGTCTAGAATTAACAACTTGAAATTAAATACAGCGGATGTGCAGATGATTGAGATAAGTGTTAAATTGGATTTTCTTTTATAATCACAAGAGTACAGAAGTCGGTTTTATTGCTGAAAACCGAGATCATTACAAGTCATGTATCATCTGTTCGAAAAAAGATCCTCGTACTATCATAAATTCTGCTATTTATAGTACGGTAATTTTTGTCTTCTTGCTCGAAACGGATAAAGACGCATTTAATGTTGAGCTGCTTTACTTTAAGCGGTGGGAAACATCAATTATTACTTTTTCGTTTTGCTGGTCCAATCAGATGCTTCCAATGATTACTTTCTGTTTGGATGTCGGTTCTTTTGAAGATGTCGGTTCTTTTGAAGATGTCAGAAGTCGGTAATTAATTCTAATTAATACCGACCTGTCTTAAGAAGTATCTTTTCAACAAAACGATTAATCTCCGTCTTCAATCTTGTGACCAAGTCGGATATCAACAGTGAGGCCCCCGACATTAGTTGGTATTTGGAGCTTTGTTGAATAGCTACTGATGTCGTTTGTTGTTCTACTTTATTCCGACTTGTCTCGCTTTGTTTACTGACATGAGAACACTTTGCAATTTCTTGTATGGTACTTGGTCTGACATGGCGGCTCTCAAAAGATGTGTCCGCATTTAATGGGCCCAACGGATATAAATTTGTAACGACATGGCGTTTCTAGACACGTCCACGTGTATTAATAATTACTGTAACGTTACACCGTTTTGAGACACGTCCGTTACACGCGCCGTTTCCGGATATCTCCAACGGTTAGAAATTAAAACCTATAAATTATAATCGGTTTCGAAGTGCAAAAAGTTTCTGTACCTTAAACTTCTCTGCTTTTTCTTGTGCTCTTTCTGTAACTTTTCCTTTTAATCTCTTTCTCGTGCACTTTGCCGGTGTTTTCTTCAATTCAGGGCTTTCGGAAATTTCGGTAAGGATTTGCCCTAATCTTTTCAATTTCTTTATCAATTTCAAGTTTTCTTTCATTTTTGTCGATTTCAAAAAAGATGTCTGCTCAAGCTGATGATAGTAGTAGCCGAACGATTTCTGATATTCCGATTTTCACCGATGAGGATTTGGAATTGCCTCTCGAATATTATCGGTGGGATCCTCTTCTGGTGAAACAACTAAATCTCAATAAGGACATTATTGACGAGGATAAACGAGTTGAGAAGGATGCTATGTCGCTTCCTGATTATTGGAGACGTCCTGCTCATCGGTGGCCTGAACCAATTGATGAATATAGGGGGGAACCGAGTATTCTTACTGACGCCGACATCGTCATGCTCCAAGGGGACGTTTACATTCCTTCTTCGGTAAAATTGTTTGCTCCATATCCGGGTGAAAGAATAACTTTTCCTCCACCGGGCTGTGTTGGTGTTTTTGCTGACTCGCTGAGGTCAGGCTTAAGATTTCCACTCCCTGCTTTAATCACAGATTATCTGAGGAATTGGGGAATCGGTTTGTGCTAAATAGCGCCAAATTCGTGGAAAAGAATCATTGGCCTTATGGTATTATTAAAGGAGAGGGGTTGGGACATGCCAACCGTTGAAGAACTAAGGAGTCTTTATTCGTTTAGACGATGTGCCGATAGACAAGTAACAGATCCCTTGATTTGTTACGCTTGCGCAGGAAGACCTCAAAGTGGATTTAAGATTGGTGATTTAATCACTGAAATCCCAGATTCTCTTCATGGGTTCCAAGAAGAATGGCTGTGGGTTGGTGGGGATTGGCAGACCCCAAATTTCGATAAACCCTTAATTGATGGAATGTCGATTCCCATTAATATTAACTCTGCAGTTTGTAAGTATTTTCTTCTCTTTTACTAAACCGAGTTTGTTCTAACTCGCCCTTTATTTTTGTACTAACAGGTCGGCAATTTTACTGTTTGCAGCTAAAAGCAAAGGACTTGAACTCAGTGTAACTTTAAGAGAAAGAATTTCTGAACTGTTCAGACTTAAGAAGGCACAGCGTGGCTTCAAGTTGGTTCTAAAGGATACGAGGTTGAAAGCTGCTGGATTGTGTCCGGAAATTTTAGACGGTTCTTTTCAACCAGGTAAGCTCGAATTGAATTTTCAATCTCATATGAAGTCGGTGACTTTTGAATATCATAGTAACTCGGTTTTATAATTGCAGTGTACTACCCACTCCTCGGAGTTCTTGGTTTCAAGACCATTCGTGACGCTAAAGCTTTTCGTCAAAAGAGTCCGAATTTGGACCTTCGAACCAAAGTCGGAAAAAGTAAGGAATTGCGCTTATCCGGAATGGGTCGCAAGAAACTAGTGAAGGCTTATCTGGAGAACCCAATCATGAACCCTCCAAAAACCGATGTCGGTGATGGCGCGACGTCGGCGGCTGCTGTTAAGATATCGCAACCAGATCCTTTAACTGTTGCTGCAGCGGGTCCCATGGCTGCTATCGCCGCTGCTATTGCTGATGTTTCTGAAGTTGAGCCAGTTGTCGAGGCTACTCCGACAGAGATTCCGCCTATTATCGAAATAGCTTCTGATGAGCCTGATGGTGGCCAAGAAATTGTTGCTGAGCGTGAAGTTCCGGCTTCTCGGTCACGAAAAAGACGTGCAGAGAATGTTCCCGCCGCTGAGGAACGAATGAAGAAAAAGCACGATGTCGGCGATCGAGGAAAGAAGAAGAAGGAGCCGTTGGTTGATCGATCCTTCTTGCCTATCGACGAGGAAAGATTCTTAAACTTCAGACAACCTCGGGAATCGGTCGAGAAATGGTTCTCGACTTTTGAGTCGGTTGAGATTCCCGAGATCTCAAGTACAGTTGAACTTCCTGGCCATGTCGTTGATGCAGCCCGGGTCCCTATGATGGTATGGGATCCGAGGTCCGAGATTGGCGTGTCATCTCTTCCGAGTGCATACAAGTTCAAATATGCTAAAGCTTGCTTAGGTCGTGCGCTCGTTAGCTTAGTGATGGCCGAAGACGAGTTCCGACTTAATGCAGCACAAGTGGACGAGAAAAAACACACTTTGGAACTTAGAGATGGAGCCCTTGCATCTCTGAAAGAAGAAGCAGCAGCTAAGGAAAAGGAGTTGCAAGTCAAACTTACTGAACAATCTGAACAGCTTGCAATCGCTCAGGGCGAAATTGAAACTTTGAGAATTGACAAGGCAAGCCTTGATTCCGATGTGCTGAAGCTGACGAGCCAAGTGATCGCTTCAGAACAACGTGTTAAAATGCTCGAAGAACAGCTTTCTCGGTGCGAATCTCTTCTCCACAAGGAACAAGAGGCTCACGAAGCTACTCGCAGAAGTCGGTCTGAAGTTGAGGACTTATTGAAGAAAGACCGAGATGCTCATCTTGCCAAGCTCAGCAAACTTCAAGAAGAAAAAATTAAATTTGCCGAGGAGAAGTGTAATGATGGACTCCGAGCCGGAAGAATCCTTGAAGCCGAAGCCAACAGATCAAAGGCCAGTGTTGAATCTGATTCCGAGGATGAAAACCGTCAATTTGAAATGAACACCTGTATCAATTTGCGCTGGATCATTGAGCGTTTCGATGAAGGATTATATGATATTGAGGTGATTCGCCAGTTCCTCCTCCACAAGATTCAGAGTCACAACTTCAACCCCTCAATTGCGACTATTCACATTGAGGCCGATGAAGACGAGAAGAGCTTCTGTGAGGGTCTTCTTACATCTATCGGGGCCGAGACAAAAAGTGCTGAGGTTTCTGACTCGGACCGAGAGAGAGAGGCTCGTCTGCGTCGATCTTTTGTCAATATGGTGCTCGAGGGTGAGAAGGAAAAGAAGTCTGAACTGGCCAATATTTATGTCAAGACTTTGGCTGAGGTGAATATAGAGGAAGAGCTCGAGAAGATGACTCCAGAGCAACTGCGCAAAGCTGTAATAGCATTCCTGGAAAGGAAGGTTGCCGAGTTATCTCAGAAGGTGGATGAGCCTGCTGCTACCGAGTTACCTGAAGGGGAAGATGATGCTGTTTTAGACAAACACATCCCGGTAACTCTTACTGAAGTAGAAGAAGCTGCTAAGGCTGAGGAGGATCGAGTCTTTAACATCATCAGCCGAGTCATGTACGAGCAAATTACAAAGAACGATGCAGAAGAAGCAGCCAAGGACAAGGATGGAGCTGATCTTGCCGAGAAGACGGATGACCCTAAATAGTTTGAGTTTTAATCGATCTTCATTTTTCTTCCCCCCTTGTAATGTTTAAGTTCATGTCAAGGCAGGTCTTTGTAATGTGTTCTCGGTATGTCGAGACACATAATTTGTTGTAGTAAACAATATTATTCAGTGAATGAAAATCTTATTTAATTATTTGTATTCATAATTCGCACTCAGCATGGCATTTTAAGAAGTCGGCCAAACATAATTTTATAAGTGGACACCATCTGCTTAGATGGAAATTTGGATATTATCTTTTGCAAATCAATCTTCAGGATTTGAATTTAAAGACAATCCAAATACGATTTCAATTTGTCCATAACCTTCACAAGTCACTGAACTTTGCAATTTGAAGGTTAATAGTTTGGTCGAGAAAGATATATCTTATCGAGTTATAGAGCTCGGTTTAAATTCAAAATATCTTTCAAAAATTTTAAGTATTAGTCTTGTCCAAGTTAAAAGCTTGGCTATATAAAGACTAATTGTATACCGAGTTAGAATATCTCGGTTCTTTTTAAGAGACTCTTTAGCACACAATTTTATTATATTCATCAAAATGTGTACAGAGTCATATTTACATTATGAACATTCATTGGAAATACTTCTTTAGATAAACAGCATTCCACGGATATGGAAGAGTAAGTCCATCCAGCTTCTCAAGTCGGTAGGTACCTTTTGGAAGTACTTGACTGATTTTGAATGGTCCTTCCCATTTTGGTTGTAAAGGCCCCGGATCTGGT